ACAACTTGGTTTGGATCTTGAAAGCTTCCCATTATCCAAAAGAGAAGAGACATGAGAGGAGGGAAGAAGGTCTGGGAGATGATTAGGTCACCCCTGAAGAACGTGTGGGGGAGGGGAAATGTGATGGAAACATAATAGGCAATCAGAAGCTAAGCAGCCACACAAAATCAGCATGTTAAACATCTTACATCATCTCCACTCCATTTTCTCCAGGACTGGATCAATTTCCCTTTTTATTGCAAGACACTGAATTGGTTAATTTTTGTCGTTGTTGTTGTTGTTCCATAACTAGTTGTTTTTCCAGCTGCCTGCACTAGTGCAAAGCGGAACTGACAAGCAGGGCAAAGACACCTTCTTAGTTTTTGTCTCAGTTCTCCATACGGTGGAATCACTGTGCTCTGCCCGCTGCTAGCACCAGTGAAACAGTAATAATCAGCCTCGTCTTCTCCTTGAACGTTGGAGATGGACAAGGTGGCCGAATTGGACGAAGAGTCCACGGAACCAGAAAATCGCTCGGGGATTCCAGAAGGTCTCTCGCTATGCTTATAGATCACGGTGAGAGGACTACTGCCAGGTTTCTGCTGATACCAGCTCACATAGTAGCTTGAAATGCTACCACCTGTCTTTGTACAGGTAATTCTGGCTGTCTCTCCAAGCGATGCTGACAGAGAAGGTGGTTGAGTCAGGGTGGACTGGGCCAAGGCACCTGCCGGTGGAAGAAGTGGGGAAAAAATACAACTGAGCTGCTTTCAGAGAGAAAGGCATTTTAACAACTTTAAGGAAAGTAGAAAGGGGACAAGAAAGGGGTAAAATATCCAGAAAAGTAGAGTTGTGCATTGGAAGGCCAAAATATGTTTCACCCCCTCACAGGACAGCCATACTTTACCAGTGAAGTAGGTGAGGAGGAAGAGGAGGAAGAGAAACATTTGGGCCATGGCTGAGAAACGGGCAACAACGGATCTTCTGGAACCAACGCTCCCTCTAGGTTGGCCCCTTCGCTCCCCTCTTAAGCTCCAGAATTGGTGGCTGAAAGAATATGCAAATATATTTTCCGGTTTATTGGTTTCTAAACCATCACCCCCACCCCTGCATTCCTGAGACAAAGACAAGGGGTGGTGTGCATAAGATCTCATCTGCAAGACTCCCCTGAGGGCTGGGAGAGGGGATGGAACTCCACGGGAGCCTTCACAAAACTCACTGGACGTTCATCTTTTCTGGGTTCATCCTCTACAATGCACTGTACGATAACCAACGGTTCTGAGTTCACTCAAAATATTGCCCCTCCCCCACAAAAAACTACCGCAAACCAAACCAAACCAAATTCAGAATTTGGTCATATCCATAAAGTCACCTGAATCCACCTGCTGTGTGAACGATTCCTATCCAGTTGGTGTTGGACAGTTTCCAAGTTTCCTGAACAAGAATATGTTGCAAGCCGTAATGCACTTGCATATTCCCCCAGACATCCAACACTGTAATCATCAATGTCAGGTTTATACTCTGAAGACCTTCTTCTCTAATCCCCTGCTCTGTGAAGAACCTAAGTCCACACCACTTTGCAGGGTGGGGATCAGCCTCTTTTGGCCATCACTTTCTAATCCTCTTCAAAACGCAGTCAGAGAGAATATCTTGAAAGAAACAACTATGGCTGCATCTCCAGGAGTTTCATTCATTGATCATGTGGCATCAAGTCAGTGTTGACTCTCAGTGAGCAGAAGAATAGACCTTCCCCAGAATGATCTGTCTGCACTCTACTCCCCAACTGGAAAAACTGGAAATTGCCTCTTTTTACTAAGCTTTAGTTTAGAAACTATGAAAGGCCATCAGTGGCACCTAGTGGCCAGAGACGTGCAAATAACATACCCTTCCATGTGCATCTGTGAAATAGCAAGGAAAACTCTCTTCACACACTCTCCCCCGGAGATGAAAACGGAAGTAGAAGCAAACAAATGAGGTTGAAGGAAAATTAGATGCATCAAGAGATTGAAACGTCTACATCAACATGGGTTGTAGAGGACTAGGAGCTCATCTAAAATGGGGAAATGAGAAGTTTCTTGGAAAGGTCTCCTTAACTTGATCTACTTTTGATTCCTCACCCCGACCTGCTCCACAGAATCTCTCTGGCTCTGCTAATATGTCTCAGTTGGTGAATTTTGCAGAGCTCCTTTTCAAGCTCTTTGTTGAGATTATTCCTCTTCCTCCACTCTCGTTGCTTTTTTAATAATGCCAAAGAGGAAGGGGGGGGGGAATAATTTATTTCCATGGAAGGTGGGGTTGAGCTGGAATTTGCCTGGCCTTTTATGGCTCTCACATGAGAAAGAAGGACTGGACAAAACTGCATAAAGGAGATTTTGAAAATAATGTTTTATCTCTCTGATTCATGAGTTTGAATCACCAGCACAGAGATAAAATATTGAGCACCACAGTTTTGACCAGTTGAAACTTCAGTCCCAAATGCTGGGAAAACACTTCAGAAGGTCCGGCAGTGAGTCACAATGCAGAAAACTAAAGCTTGGAGAAGCCGAGTCCTCTTTCCCTGGACATGACTCCAGCTGGCATTTTAGCACCCACGTTAAACAGGGATTCAAATTTTTCTCCCCAAAAGTGTATTATTCCCTTCAAGGGGCACGTTATACCAGCAAGGGGCAAATTATACTGAAAAATATTGAAATCAGACAGAATTCTTGTGCTTCCTTTTGCCAATTACAACACTGAGCCTATAGACAAATCAGTTCAGCCTGTAAATTCAATAATCCATGGATAATTCTTCAACCACGGACAGATGACACCCCCACCCCGTTTTAATGTCACTCAGTTTGATTTCCTATATTCACTGATATTTGAAGCTTTCCCTTCAGATTCATTCAATCTGTCTCTTCGTGACTTTGTAGCTTGGCCCAAGCTCTGACAGTTCCTTGCACGCATCTCTAAATAAAGCCATTTCCTTCCATGCTGCTGTGGCCATCAGCCTTCCTGGGTGAGAGAATGCTTTGCAGCTGGAAATCAACCTGATGGGCTTTTCTCTGGTATCTCTGACTCAGGATCCCCAATCACAGGCCAAAGTGAGGTGTTGGGGCTTTTGTGCTGAGGAAGAAAAGTGAAGGGTTTTGTCACACTTCCCCATAAGCATTTACCACTGTGCAACAGCTTGCCTGTACTGTCCCAACTCTCACAGTAATAATCTGCCTCTCAATCAACCTGCACGTTGGTGATGGTTAAAGATCCTGTGGTGCCAGACCTGGTGGCCGTAAACCAATCTGGGATCCCTGGTCCCCTGCTGCTGCAGCCATCTCAGTGGACAAAACGAGGGGCTTCTCCAGATTTCTGTTGATACCAGCCAATGCTGTAGGTACTCTTTCCTTAAATGCCCCAGCTTTACCCTTTCATGCAGATGAGATCTGCACCCCTTGGTTCTACTGAAATATTTGATTCCCCAAAGCATTTTGAGGTCTTCTAACTTAGCCAATGACCACAGGACACATTTGCATTGAGGAGATTTGGAAACAGAGGAAGAATTAAATGTTCTGGCTCACAAGGCCTCAGTAAAAGTTTCACCACCGTGGGGTGGACCAACACATCTTTGGGATTTCTTCTAATTCCCCACTTGGGCAATCTTGGTGGGTTTTCCACACTCAGCCTTCAACCTACCTTTCTCCCTTAGGTATCGTGCCTGGAAAGGAATCTTTGAAATCTCTTAGCCATTTTCAACTCCTTGCTTTGCTTGGGCCAAGGGGAAGCCATACTGCTCTGTCTGGACTGTGATTGTTGCTTTTGTTATGAGTATTATGTAGATTTCATGTGGCTGCCCACTCCTCACTTACCAAATTTACACTGGCTCCTGTCTTTGGGATTGAAAGGTCAGATTCCCCAGCACTCAATAAACGTCTGGTGACACCCTGTGGACCATTAAGAGCTTTGGACTCTGTCAAATGCCCCACCTGGGCAATCTTGATTTGAATTTAATTAATGCAAGAGGAATGTGACAACAAGACACTCAATCTCTTCCCTGCCCCAATTACCATTTGCAATCTCCTAGACTATATCGTCATTTGTACTATCTTTGATTCTCTATCAATGAAGGTTAAAAAGAAGAAAGAGGAGGAGGAGGAGGAGGAGGAGGAGGAGGAATAATTCAGCTTTCCACCATTCCTCCAGTGAACCTGTAGGACAAAACCAACACTGGAGGCATCTGTGACCTTCAGGAATGGTTGGTGGGTCTCCTTTCACTCGGGAAGCTGCAACTGGGACTCTGCACACGACCTGAGTTCAACAAAAGTATGAGCAGCATGAAAAGGAACAGCTTTTCAAACTCCTCCTTCCATCACCTTTTTCCCTGTGCTTGGCTACAAGCTAATCTATATGAATTTCCAGCTGCCAATAGATTTTTTCCACCTTTCTCTAAATATTTCTCACTTTCTTTACGTAAAATGAGAAAAGTTAATGCCAACCCATGCCTGCTGCTTTATAGGAGTCTCTTTTCCCACCCTGAATCCCATGTATTGTACAGTGTTAAATGTCACGATTCATGGATGTTTCTTCACAGATTTCCGTACAGTAAAGTTTCATTTTTTATTTTTTATTTTTGCTTTTGTTTTTGTTTTGAAAAAACATCTTCTGAGCTTTAGGCTGCTCTCCCATGGATTGGATTGGATTACAAAGAAATTGTTCATTCAGTTCAGACGTACAATATGCTGAGGAAGTGCTAATTGTCCAGTTTGTACCCACAGCCATCTCAGCTAAAAGGTTTTTGCTTCTGAACGTCTGGTGCATATTACACCTTCGGAACTGGATGAGGCAGCTAGCGATTTTTAAATTTTTCCAAACCAGCTCTGCTCAACTGATTGACACCGGAGGCCATGGGGCTGGGGGCTTCCCCCACACCATCCTCTTACATACTCCTGTGCCCACCACCCTCCTTAGGCGGGAGAGGGAGAGGTCTTTGCAGTAAATGCTGTAGGTACTCTGAGTTGTGCAGGGAAGCGTGACTGTTCCTCCCAGGGAGACAGAGCTTGAAGAAGGCTGAGACCAAGTGGGCTGTCAATCAATCCTTTTAAAGTGGGGGAGGGGGGAGGGAGAGAGTGGGGGGAGAGAAAGAAAGAACTACTGTGAAACTGATGCATCTTCCTTTGCTCTTAGCCATTTCCAAGGGACCACGTTCTTATGAGAATCACAACCAAATCCTCTCTTCACCTGGGAAAAGTGAGTGTTCTGCACCTTACCTGTGCAGTAAGGGAGAAGTGCCAGGAAACCCACAGCCCAGCCCATGGTGAACTTTCACAAGGAATGGCCTTTTAGGGTGGAAAATTATAAAGTTCCTGATATCTTCCCCTTCCCTTTCCTTCAATGCCCCAGTTGTATCCCTTCATGCAAAGGAGATCTGCACTCATTGGTTCTACTAGAATATTTGATTCCCCCAAAGCATTCTGAGGTCTTCTAGCTTAGCCAATGATCACAGGAGACATTTGCATGGAGGAGATTGAGAAATGGAGGAAGACTTAAAAAGTCTCTATTAAAATCTGACACTGTATTTTTCTCTTGGAGGGGCAAGTTATACTAGCAAAGGGCAAATTAGGCTGAGAAATATTGAAATATATTCTACATTTCAAACTTCAGTGTTTCTAATCAGGCAAAATTCTTGTGCTTCCCTCTGGCAAGTAGAGCGTTGAGCCTATGAAGAAATGAATTCAGCC